TGTATTTGCTTTGATAATTTGTAAAATTTATTTTGATATAAATGACTTCATATTAAATAGTCTAAACAGAAAACAACAAATACAAGATTATAGGAGTCAAATACATGTAAGGACAAAATGTTTTTCAAGACCTTTCATCTCAGGTTCAGATTTTTTATTATAGTATTCCTCCTGCAAAGGTAGAATAATGCCTTTGATCCTCTTACTATGGACACTTCATCTTGTAATCTCACATTACAGTTCATCATTTCAAAACTTATTAAAATTTTTTTTACAGTTAATTGTTAATTTCATAATACCTTTTCAGTCAGTAAGATTTTGCAGTTTATATTGATTGCTGAAGAGATCTGAAGTTTATTTTCAATATACCATACCATTAAACTGAGTATAAATTTATACTTTTTCTAGTGTGAGTTTTATATCTAATTCTTATTAATATTGTTGTGGTTGTTTATAATGACCTGTTTATTGTCCTCTATGTTCTGCTTCACTCACGTCTGTTGATAATGATCCATTCCATTATAACATTCATAGTGTCAACACTCGCATTCCGCTGAATACTGTTGGCTGATGTAATCAACACTAAACAGTTCTAGCAAATTTGTTAACTATCATTTGATTGATTAACCAGCTCATATTGAAGTTTGCTAAGCTCAAATTTGTTCATTATTTCAAATCTTTGTAATCTGATAATTTGACATTTCTGTAAATCGTATGATGCCATCTAAGTTAAATAATTACTTATTTAACTTGGTGCTACTGATAATCGATGAATTTTAATGTAATATTACAAAGTTATGTAATTTAAGATGTAGAAACTATATATATAACATTAATGTGTATAATAGTAACTTAATTTTAGTCAAAGGTAATGGTTTGAATTTGAGATTTGAATAGACATATTATTATATCCACATATACATACGCTTACACACTAGAGTTGCCATCTGTGGAAACTGGCTTTGCTGGCTGATGTGATGACTGGGAAGGAGAGGAAGAAGGTAAATGTGATGCACTTTTTTTCATGCTTCTTGCATTCTTCATGCCTTTAAAAGCTTTAATTCCATTGCATTAACACTGAATGATGATTGGCAAGGGATGCAATAAGCTAAACAAATATCACCATCACCAAAAGTTAAATTTTTGAATTCATTTACTCAAAGCAAGGTTTTTTTAAATGTACAATTGTGTGAACATTTTTTTTTTCAAGGAGGAGAAGAATCAGACAAATATCTAGGCCAGTCTTGAAAAATCAATTTTTAAAATGTAAAATGGCAGTCAACCTGTGCAAACAGGTATTTTTACTTAGAATTACGATCATGCTTGAATATTTAATATATTACAGCATCATCTACGAATTGTAATGAAAACTTTCATAATTATAATGAGAAAGTTGTTTTATTATTAAAAGTAAACCTATTGAATATTAAAAACACAATTTATAATATTTTTTCAGTTAAAATATAATTTTGTTTATATTTTAAAGTGTTTTGCTGATACTTAATATTTTTTATTGATTGCTGATCAAGTTGGCCCAATGCTGGCTGGTTGGCAACACATACCACAGTACAAATTATGAATACAAAAGATTTATATATTAGTTTTAAGCTTCTTTTGTACCTTATTGAATTTAATTGTAAGAAGAACAATTTTTACATCACTTTACAGCTAATAAGTACAATAGTTTTAAGAATAACATTTTAATATGAATGATTTGTCTTGCATTGAAGTTAAATGATAAAAGGTAACATAAACAAATCATTTTGTAATACATGTTATTGTTTTAAACCTTTTTTTTATGAATTACAATAAAAGAAAAGTGTGTTTATTTGTGGCTTTGCCTCGGATAATACAGAACCTCAGTTAATCAAGGTTCTACCGTATATAGCTTTAAGCTATTTCTTTGTTGGCTAAAATTGATTTTATTTAAAATTAGAAAATGTTAATTTCATAATAGATTATTGATAATTTAAACATTTTATTATTCAATTTTTAATATTAAAATTTTATAGTTAATAAAATTTAAACTTGTTATTTCACTTAAACCAACATGAACAAGTAACTAATTTATTTTCCTAATAATTTTACTATTTACTATAATTGTTTATATACTTTATATTTTTTTATTGAAATTTTAGAAGTATAATATATCATACATGATTATTAGTTATTTATTCTTATACATTTCTCAATGTTTTTAAATGAGGAGACATTTCAAAATTATATTTATTATTATTGTTTTTTCTTTGAAACATTTAATTTATAATACTTTTTAAAAAACAAACAAAATGAAATCTATTTTTCATCTAGAATTTTGTAAACAAGCTTTTAAGATATCTTTAGTTAAATTTTGTTTGCTAAAAATAGAAGCTGTGGTATGTTATGCCACATTTAACAAAGTAATCTGGCTGGAAGACTAGAATAACACGCTGATTCAGTGGTTTGAGTTTTAATCATAACATGGTTATGTTCGTATAAATTATTCTTAAAGTATTTTTACTATTTAATTAGAATTGATTTTTTTTCTCTAGAATAAATTAAGAATGAATGTGAAAAATATTTTGAAGGTAATTTTCTCGTTTGGGATTGAAGTTAACCTTTTTGGTTTAATGCATTTATAATCGGCATCCTTTTTTAACACATCATCATATCTGTGTATCAGATAATCAATTAAATTAATTTGTTAATTGAATTTTGTAATTATTATTATTTTATAATGAATATTCACATAATAAAATACAATATCTGATATTAATAAATGTTTAATCTTTAGATGAATGAGACACTTTATTCTTAATGTATTGTACTAAATCTAGCTGCTATTTTCTCCAAAATTAATTAATTAAAATAAGGAGATACAATAGTTCTTTAATATCTGTATGTTAAATGTTTTTCTATATATATAGAGGCTGTAATCAAACTGTGCCAATATTTTATGGATAGATTCTAGAGTCATAAATAAGCCTAAAATCTTCTATAAAGGTTTTTTCAAAATCCACTTTGTTTTCAAGATATGGCCTACAAAAAAATACTTTCCCAAATTTCCAGTCAAAATACTAACACTAGAGTTGTCAGGTTTTTAAAGTAATTTTTTTTTAAATACTTCTGTCAACCGACTGAGGTAAGTAAATGTCACCCAAGCAGGTCCTTTATAATAAAGTGGATAATACTGTTCACATTTAAAATTTTGCAGTACGAATTCACTTTACAGTAAAAAAAACAAAATAGTTGAAAAGCGAAAGCTTGTCATGTTCATGTAAATATACTTTGAATAACATTTTGTTTTTTACAAAATTAAACAGGATAATTTACAAGAACTGCCCAAAATTTCTTCTGCAGACAGATATTTGCTTCTTATAAAAACAATTGAAACTCAATGTTCATAACTTATCAAAACAATTTTGCCATATTTTTTGAGGATTATAAATTTTCATTTTATGACTCATTAAATTGTTTGTTTAATGTGAATAAATGTGATAAAATTTACTTAGCTTTCTTCAATTGCAATATTTTATTATAGTATTATATTATTATTATAATAATTTAATGACTAAAGTATTTTTTAAAGTACAGTATTACTAATCCAAACTCATAATTAATTGGGTTATTATTCTATAATTAATAATTAGATACTAAGTAATTTGGTACTAGAGGTAGACATTAGGTGCCATCTCTTATCTAAATTAATAATAATAATTATGGCAAGAGTTTGGATTAGTATCAGTACATCAGGCATCGGGATGTTGATATATATATGTATGTATATAAAATATTACTGCATTTTATTATTTAATTTTCAAATATTGTTTTGACAATGAACACAAAATGATTGTAAAACTCAAGTATTTTTATAGTACTGATAAATGATTTTTAGTTTTCATAAAGAAGGAATAAAAAAATTCTCAGTATGCACTTTTTTGACATTTAATAAACATAACTTTTCTAGAATGCAGTAATGCTCTTTACAGTTTTATTAAATTTAAGATGAATATATTATATTAGGAATATTTCAAATTTCTATACTTTTTTTACAATTTATGAAACATTCAGATCTAATCAGTTAATAACTCTCATCAAGCATGCTTTTTATTGATGTAACTTACTTGGCTGTTATAGAATATAAAATAGGGAAATTTTGGTGATTGATTGAATTTTGATTCCTCCCCAGTTTTTGCATTTCTCGACATTTTGACACTACAGGAACTCAAAAATGAAAAACAGAAACCTTACAAAAGTTTGTGTATGAGTACATGGCATCATGTATTTGGCTTTTTATCTCAGGATTGGATAAACCAAACTTTTGGAAACTTAGCATGATTGTTTCTGTGTACGGGGCTTTTAAATTATGATAGTTAAAAGTTAAAGTGATGAGGTCATAGAGGAAAGCATGTGTCTTATGAGCAGTGTCAGACTTAGTTTTACTCATTATTAGCATTTACAATTTCTTTAAAAACTCAGTATTACTTCTCAAAAATAAGCCGCTTGCTCTTTCATTATGATTAATATAAAAATTATTTTTTTAATAAAATATCATAACAGATGACACCACACATTACTTTATAAAATATGACTGCTGGGAAAATTGTGCAAGATTACTCACCAGCTTTTTTTTAATCTAATTGAATATTTAATCCCATAGATTTTTATCTTTGTATCTTAAATTCTTTTATTGTAATCTTGAAATGCTATTTAAAAAATCTTACAATTTGAATTAAGATCCAATGGTGTTGAGCATTCATGTTTATCAAAATTTAAATAAAGTTAATGTAGAAATGTATAGAAAGATTTTTTTAAATTGAAACCAATAATGAACATTTTATATTAATCAATGAATATTAATTAGTATGTCAGTTTGTGAAAAGTTGTATGATACTATCATTAAAAAGGCATCTGAATCAATTAATTGCTGATGCTAAATATTTTTTAATTTTATAAAATTATAAATTTTTTTTTAATTGGAAAAAAGTTCTTAATTTTTATTATTGTATTTTCATTTACAGCTCAGAAACAAGTAGAATTAAGCCCTAGTCTTACTGCTTATAGTCAAGAATATTCAGAAGAACCTATTATGGAAAGTGATAGGTATAAGAGAGAGATGGTTTCAGAAGCTATTCGTGAAATTAAAAAAGCAATTCAGCATAGCAAAAGTGTGCAGCTGAAAAACACTCCTTCAGGAAAAACAGAAGGACTAAATCAACCAGTGTGGGTTCCAAGGTATGGGTAAAAAATTAAACATAATAGTGTTTATTTTATCAACATTATGAGTATTTAAAAATAGTATATATAAATTATCCGATTTGACAAATTTATATATGTAATTTTTTAATATAATATACCATGGATATTAGTTACTATCAATATGCCAAATGATTACCAGATTAAATCAGGCTATTATTGCATATTACTAGAAATATTTCTTATTACTAAAAATATTGGGCTTTGAGATATTTATATATTAGTTACTATCTCATTTATATTCATATTTTGGTTTTCACTAAAGAAATTACATTTAAATTTCATAAATAATGATAGTAATATAATAAAATAGTATATATATAAACATTTATGTATGTATGCTATAAAAAAGTTCAGACAAAACATACAGTAGGAAGATTATTCAAGTTGAAAAACAATTACAGGTAAGTTTAACTGATGGTATATTTATGACTTCATCAAGAAGAATTTCACTAATAATATATCAATTAAAGTTAGTTTTAATATAAGCTTTCAAAAACTTATATAGAACTGCTTTGTAATTATGAAGCCAGTATATTTTTATTTAAAAAACATGTTGTTAATATGTTTCAAAATTAAACTATTACAGCAAAATTAAATATTAAGTATTGGATGAATAAAAACATTGATTTTTACAAAAAAAAAACTGTCTGTTGAATTTAACCTGTTTTTATAGAAAACTTTATTAAATTGGTTTTATTTTATTTTTATAATAATGAATCTTTTGAAACTAATAATTAGTTTTAAAGCGGATAAGTCAATTAAATCAAAATAACAAGTTAATTAAAATAATAGCAAGCAATAATTGTTTGCTATTATTTGAATGAACTTGTTATTACTAATATAAAAGCTGTCATGTGTGTGTGAATTCCTTATCACTCCTGCAATTTTTGTCCAATTCGGATGAAATTTTGGTTATATTCATTATGTTCTGACAAAGTATAGGTTACTTACTTTGCTCTAGAAAAACATTTTATCAATTTCAGATCAGTGACAGCACTTACATTGCAGTAATGTCAGTGACCTCATTTAGTTCTTGTTTGACAAGGGAATTTCCCTTAATTAAGTTGCATTTTTAAAATTTTGGCAAATGATGTATTTTAAATTTACTTTGTTAAATTTAAACTTTAAAAAAAAGATAGCCTCATTGTATCACTTCTATAATAAATTGTTTTTGAAAAAACTTTTCATGGTGACAACATGATGATCTACTATGCAATTGGAAGTAATGATCTAACAAGCCTGTTATTTAGAAAATGTTTTTGCTCATGTAACTAATGTATATACAATTCATCTTTGTTTTATCAATGTGGAATTAAAAAGACTCCCTATTTTGTCCAAAAAAAAAAAAAAAGAGTCTAAGTGAAAGTGTAAGAGTAAAATTGGTTGGGTAAATTCTAGATTTAAAAGAATAAGAACAACCGAGACCCCTAAAGGCTATGAAGTCTAACTTGAGCAACATAGAGTAAGAATGGCTTTGTCAAGGACTGTAAAAACAGCATCACAACATCAAGCTAGTATAAACTACTTAATTTGTAGAAATATTAGCAACTATTCTTGAATTTTTTGAAATAGCTACTCTTCTCAATTCTTCAATCTCTACTTTCTCATAAAAAGTATTCCGTCATGCTTGACGGGAGAATTTCTAGTTTGTAAAATAATAGTAGTATTTCAATTAAAATAAAAAAGAATAGAATTATAAATAGCTTGTTTTATATTGACGCATTTAATGTGGATATTAGAAAGGAAAACTCAAAAGCATTAACAGTCTAAATATTTAATTAAATTAGGCATTTTTCAGGATATTAGATCCCATTTTCAGATAAAGTACATTCAAGCTATTGGAATATTAACATGAAATTGAATGATTTTACTGTACATGCTTATGAACATTTGAATCTAAGCTGACCAATAACTTGTCTGAAAATTTTTAAGGCATATACAAAGTGCAGTCAAAAAGTTTCAGGACTGGTGATATGATGCTACAATCAGCTGGCCATGTGCTGAACTTCCACAAAGTAGGATTTGTAATAGACATTGTTATTTATCTTCCCACCAAATTTTGTGCTATTATCTTATGTAGTTTTTGTTTCTTGCTATTTAGATTAGATCCGTGTTTTTGCCAATTTGTTACTTTCATTGCTTTGTAAAATGAATTCTTTTAAGGAACAATGTGTGAGAGTGAAATTTTGTTTCAAACTTGGTAAGACTGCAACAGGAAAAAAGTGAATACAGGAGACAAAATATGAATTTATGGCTATGACCCCAAGACAAAACGACAATCGACTCAGTAGAAAAATCGTGGTTCACCCAGATCAAAGAAAGCAGATCAAGTTAAATTCAATCTCAAGAACATGCTCATTGTTTTTTTTCAATAGGGAGGGAATTATTCTCTGAGAATTTGTTTCACAAGGTCAAACTATGAATGAAAATTTTTACATGGATGCTTTGAGGCTCCTGCATGAAAATGTCAGATGAAAAAGATCAGATCTTTGGAGAGCTCAGAACTGGTTGTTTCATCATGACAAGCTCCTGCTCTCACAGCTATCGCTATTCAACAGTTTCTTACAAAAATAAAATGGCTGTGGTACCCACTCTCCTTTCAGCAAGAGATGCTCTCACATTGAGAGTGAGAAACAACTTGGAAACACAACAGATGGTATTTAATACAAAGTGAGTGCAATTTTTCTCTGTGCATGCATTTCAAATGTAGAAGCATTGTTCGAATTCTGGGTCAAATTTCTCTTGAATTTAATGTTTGAAGCTAGAGTTGTTGAAAGTATGACATACACTGTTTAGTTTGACAGTTAACAATTCATGTTCAATTTAGAATAGTTACATGTGCTAAAGAAGGTCTGTCACATAGACTAAAAACATTTGATTTTCTAAAAGTTCTGCTGTTCAGGATATGATTATTCCCTTCGTACCATTTACAATTTTTCAATTTTCATTTAAACACTTTAATTTGTAACAAGAAAGGTAATTTCTGATTAAATTTTTATTCATTTTTTTACAAATGTTTGAGTTCAGGATATTTATTAAGGAAAAACTTTAATAAATTTATAATTTTGTAACAGGATTTATTAATGAATAATAAATAAATGATTTTTTCCCTTTTCAGATCACATTGCTTTCCAAAAATATGGATTAATAACAGGATAAGATACTTTTAATAAAATGCCTTATTTTAAACTTTCAGAAATTCTAAAAATACATCATTAACTCCAACTTTACATTATTATTTACTTTTAACTACTTTGTTGGGATGTTCTTAATATTAAAAATTGATGATCTCTCAAGTACTTTGGAGTTACTATGCCTATCTTCAAGGGAATGCAACTTTAGTCTGTAAAAAATAATTCTAGAATGTCAAGTTCTTATTTAAATTTGTTTCACTAAATGTTCTAAACAACTTTAATGTTTCTAGTGTTCTAATACTGTTCTTTTGTTAATAGAGAGGATATTTGGAGTATGTGGAGACAGAGACTTTAAACAAGGAGTTAGCATATATAAATGGAAGTGAACTTTAGGGAAATGCAATTTTAATCTCTTCCAAACTGTGGGTCTGGAGAGAGTTTTAGGAGGTTAGTGTAAAGAATTAAGAATGGAGAAAGAGGATGGAAAACGGCAGAAAGAACATTCCTAGAGAGAAGCTGGTTTCAATGTGTTATATATGTTACCTTTCAAGCCATGTATACAAGATACTAGAGAGACCTGTCCAGAAAAGAAAAATTGTTTTTAAGAGGAATAGTAGTGTGTTCAATCAGTTGAGAAATGAAAGAGAACAAAAAAAGAGATAAGGCCATGATGTATATACTAATTAAAGGAGAAGCTAACATAATGAAATTATATGTAGAGGCCATAAAAAATTGTTGGGGACCAGGATCCAGAAACACAGAAAGGATATTGAAAAGGTTTTGGTCACTATAGTTTTAGATCAATTGGTGTATGAGACAGTTGTGGAGATAAAATGGATGAGAACAAAGATTCTAGAGGAGCTTAGAGAAAGTGGTTTAGATCAAGCAGAAAAGATGTGGATTTATAAAGAATGTTTAAGGAAAGACATGATTAATAGTAAGGACTCAGAATCATTGCCCATGTCATGGAAATGATTATTAGAAATAAAAGGTTAGAGAGCACTAATTGTCAATTTCAAAAGATTCTGTTTAATTTTTTTTTTTAGAATAGTTGCAACATTGAAGTTTTGGATCTTTTAGTGGAATGAATTTAAATTAGAACTATACAGTCTAGAATTATATTTTTACAGTTGCATTCCCCTAAAGATGGCATAGTAGTCTGAAAGTACAGTCAAACCTCAGTTTATGAAATTAATGCATTTCTAAAAGTTGTTCGGAAACTGATTTCTTCTCAAACCAAGACAAATTTTCCCACAAGAAAAAATGTAAAATGGATTAATCCATTCCTGGCACCAAAACAAAAACCTCTTTTTTTTTCCTTCTTTAGCTGTATTTCATCTATTAAAATGTCTACATATGCAATATAATATTATATAGATATTTATTTTTTATATACTGTACAGTATATATTAAGAGTAAAATGTACTATCACCATCAACAGAAAGCAAAACTAACACTTTACAAAATGCTATAAATATAGATAGATTCAATTCTGCCTGGATGAAATATAATCAAATCAATCAAGACAGACAAGTAATTTACCCACACTGTTGGAAATATTATATTTAAATTGATTTGATTTTATTTTTAGTTTGTGTAACACCCAGAGTTTTAATTATTTTTAGTTTTAATTAGCAGGCTACCTAAAATTAATATTATAATAATAAATTTTTGTTAATTTTAATTTGAGTTAAGCACCTTTAAACACGGATTTGTGGATGTCATTTATGTTATGCAAGTGTCAATTAGCATGGATTTTATTAATTTGATGTAAATTGAATTGTGGGGCATATTGAAAATTGGAAGTAGTATCTTACCTGCATGCACGTTGAAATCTAATTT